CCTCCCTCTGCTTCTCCAACCTGCTCCTATCTCTGCTCCTCCCTCCGCTTCTCCAACCTGCTCCTATCTCTGCTGCTCCTCTCTCTGCTCCTCCCTCTGCTTCTCCCTCTGCTCCTCCCTCTGCTCCTCCAAGGTGAGAATGGTGTCATGGCGTCCTGCGTTGCCCCTTCAGGTGCGTCAGGCTGACCGTTCTGCGGTTCCTCAGACGCTGCAGGTTCGTTTAGAGGCTGAAAGTTTGAGGCTTTTCCACAGAATCCAGACTCAGTCAACAGTAAACAGTTTATTGAGGTTCCTGTACAAGAGAGCTGTGCTGTTTGCAGACATGGGCAATGAGGAGTCAACAAGTCATCTCCATGTCATGTCTTTGTTCTACCCAGACGCTGAAGCAGGTGAGTCCAATCTTCACCGTGAATTAACCTGTGCAGACTGGACTCACCTGGTTAATTGGCTGGGTAGATTAAATACATGACATGGAGATGACTTGGTGACTCCACATTGCCCATGTCTGACTGTTACGTCCATCAAACTTCTCCAAACATCTTTCAAAGGTTGAAGTATTAATGGTTCAGCTTCACAGTAACTGCTGTAAACAGAAAAAAACGAAAACAGGAAGCTGCACGCCGCTGATGACATGCAGGTGGAAACCAGCAGAGCTCTGGCTGCTGCTCCTCACATTAACAGACCTACAGCTGCTTTCACTTCAAATGATGGATGTTTTCATTGTCACACATCTAATCAAAACATTCAACCAAGCGATGATTCTTCCTACGGCTGATTTATGTCTGCTTGAACCAGAATCTGACCCTAACCCTCTGCCTGAAGCTAACGTTTACGCAGCCACTGGTTAACGGCCCCCTGGGGAATAATCTGGTTTACCCCAGTATATCTTCATGCTAGGCTAAGCTAATCAAAAAAATCTGCCATGTTCTTAACACATATTGGTAAAGTTGGCACTATCTGAAATTATACCAATCACATTTATATCATATATTAAAAATAATTCCCCTTATGTGGCATAAGATAGAGCTAGCCTAGCCTAGCCTGCATCAAACCTAGCATAACCGTCTGGCTTGTTGGCTTTGCTAATTAGCATGCTAAGCTGCTTTTCTCTTCTTTTTCTTTGCACACTAAGTCAATCAGTGGGACAACATGTGACCAAACATTCATCATCTCTGCTGTTGACAGAGTCCAGAGAAATACGTTGCTTTACGTTGCTGGCAGCCATGCTGGATTCTGAGGTTGAATTTTAGTTTTTTCTTTTTTATAAAGTTTAAGTATCTGATGACACTCCAGCTCGTTTTCTATATTTTTCTTACTGCCAATTGTTGAGTAGATGTTGTAGACAGGCAGGCCTGAATGAATAGAGAACAGGTGGACCCGGCCCTTTGTTTAGGTCCCAGTGTTGAGATATTTATTGACCTAGCCTGAATTTGGGGCGGGGCTAGATCTGTGAGGTCACCAAGGAAGAGCAGCTTTACTCTTTGCTGCACAGTCAAGTATTTTCTCTGGACAGTTTCCTGTTGATTAGTCGGTAGGAAGGCAGTTGGACCCCCTGTCTTTGCCCTATTGGAGGTTTTACCGACACGCCGCTCCTATGCCTGTGAGCTGCTAAGGGATTGCTTAACGCTCCTTAATGGTTGACTTATTTAGGCCTGCAGTTGTGACAGTAATCCAAAATGGTGTGTGAGACCAAAGCACAGCTGTGCCGCTGATGTAAGACACCAGGACAGTCGCAGGGTGCCGTGTCGCATACATCTGTTTTTTGTTCTGGGGTCGCAGAGACCAGGTCCATCAGAGGAGCTCAGGCAAATCTCTGTTCCTCAGTGAAATTTGGTCTGATAAGGTGAGATCTCTGCTGCAGGTCTTATGCTTGAATCTCTCTATTCCTAAACTCTAGTCCTTCAGGTCTGGTGTGCTGCACTTTTTGATGGGACTCTGCAGCCACACCTCAGTCAAATGGATCAGCGACCTCTTGACCATGCAGTCCAGTTCTCCAGAGTTTTGCTAATGACCTGATTATTTGGTTTTGGTGTGTTGAAGCAGAGAAACCTCTAAAAGGTGCAGGACACCGGGCCTCAGGTCCAGGACTTGAGGAACCCTGATCTATAATGACATCCAAACACATCCTTTGCCTCCACAAGGCCAGCTCCATTGTCAAAGCTCACCTATGCCTATTGCCACCTGGATCTGTCCATTCTGAACCCCAGTGATGGGGATGGGAGAGCCTAGTCTGTGGGAGAAACTCTTATGCTGTCATTCAATCCCTAAGGAGCTATGATGCGCTGTAGAAATGTTTGCTCATTGGCAGTGATGCTAATGTTATTTAGGCTAACCTCTATGTTCAGACCAGCAGGGTGCTGATGAAGGTCAGAAGGCAAAATAAAGCAGAAAATATAAATATGATTATAAAATATAGTATTTCATCATATATGGATATTTCTTCTAGATTGTCCACAAACATAAAGTATGCAATATCTTTGGCTAAACACTACAGATAGTTTGTATCTTTCATTCTCTCTCACACAGACTAGAAAAACAAACACTGACGTTTATTCTTATTCAACTTTTTTGCTCTAACCACAGATTTTATCAACCTAGAATTTTAAAATATCAAAATAAATAAACATTTGCTGAAATTTAACAAAATTGCATTGAACAGTTTCATTTTATAACACGTTACATCATAACATTTAAACCTGACATGGATCATGTGTTTCTCCTCCAATTGGAGGCACCTGCAGAAGAAACAAACATCAGTCATCACTTTCAGAACAGGCTGGGTTCTGATCCACGCTCAGACCTAAAGCCGCCGCCGGCTAAGAGGCTCAGTTTGTCATTGAAAGGATAAGAAGCAGTTGGCTGGATCTGCTGCTGACATCTGGTTTAGAGGTTGCTGACTGCGCTGTCGACACTCCAGACGCCGACAGAGAGGTTTCATAAATGTTGAGAAGTGAACCGAACAGAACCAGGGTTCCCACCATGTGTGGTTCTGTTTCCCTTAAGGTTCTGGGAACTCTTGTGGCCTGCTGTATTCTCCCTCAAGCTAAGGCGTTGTTGCTTGGTCATTCTAAACAGGTTGGTGAGATTGATTTAACGTGCTGTCCAACCCGCAAAGTTAAACACCAGAACTGAATCTGAGTTCATGTAACTTGGTCTGCATGCGGACTGGTGTTGGAGACAGGCAGTAACTGCAGCATCCAACAGTCCTGAGGCTCAGCAGACCCAATGGATACCTTGGACATGATAAATAATAGCCTGCAGCTGAAGCAGATTGATTGCTCAGGGCCCAGATTGGGCTATAGTACTCCCCCACAATATTCACAGTCCAGAGGTCCAGTGGTCCTAAGTTGGACACCAGCCTGGACGATGGGTTGCCTTGCCACAGTCGGATTATTGCCCTGTTCCAAGCCCGGCAGGACCCTGTGACTTCTGGAGACCGGTTCTGAGATCTTCACAGAGCAGCATACATTGCAGCTTCACAGGCCAGAGCACCAACTGCTATGGGCTGATAACGGAGAAGGTCTAGATGTTCTGCCTCACCACAGACCACCATGCTAGATGGAGGAAAGTGACCGAGTGGTGTCCTTCCTGGCATTGTGGTTTGGAAGCCTGATGGACCTCAGAGACACCCTGGGACAGCATCACGGCCTCTTATGGTCAGCCACATCATTCAACACCCTCCCAGTCAAACCAGTTCCAACCAGTGACCAAAAATGTGTCATAAATCAAAACTCTGATCTGTTTCTGTTTTTGAAGAAATCGTGGAAATGACAGGATGTTGCAGATCTGTCTTGTCTTTGGTATTTTTTCATAGACCAGAGATAGTAGTGAGTTTGAAAAGTATAATCAGCTGTGATTAGTTAGTACTACAGAACTTTATCCCTTAACATGTGAAATGTAGAGTTATGTTGACCTCCAGGGTGAGCTGTAAAGTGCCTTGAGATGATGTGTTGTGAACTGGCGCTCTATGAATAAACAGGAAGAAGACATGCTTGAGCTCAACACCATATAAGCTGCCCACCTGTTCAAATAGCGATGATGATGCGTTATATTCCACAGACCTGGTACACATCAGACAGGTGGTAACCTTCTAACACTGGAACTCTGCGTTAAGCACAGTGCTGCGGAAATGGGAAATCTCTTGTATTGCAAACCAGCTCTGTTCCACAGTGAAGAAAGAAAAACATGATTTCAAACTTTATGGTGAATCAGCCTCCCAGAAGATATTGATCAGGAAAGTGTTCCAAGGTGCAGTAACAGCAGTCCTGGTGAGTGGGAGATGTTGGAGAGTCAACTCTGATACTCCATGGAGCTGAAGGGGAGGCGGAGTCACTTTTCCACCAGGAAACAACCGTCGTGTGAAGACAGTCACAGGCAGTCTGCTGGGTACAGACTCTCAGTAGACCTTTGACACACCGCTGCAGGTTGGTCTGTTCTCTGGAGATCATCTCTATAGAGCTACTGACACGTTTTCTAAACTAATCCATTTTAACTATTTAGGGTCTGGTCTGAAAATCCAGTTAAGGTTCTGGTCCACAGTGGAAACAGCATGCCGGCCATTATGACATCACTCAGACTCGGACAGGAATTTAGTCATGATCCAGATCATTTGTCAGTGTTAGCTTTAGGTGAAAGTCACAATTTGGGGCAAAGTTTGCGGCTTGCTGGAGATCTGCGCTCTCCAAGTGCTTTTCTAGTTTTTTTATGGGCCTCCAAAGATCTGTTTGAAGAGCTACTGGCAAACATAACTTTGGACAAATTCCATGTTAATACAAATTTAGAAATTTGTGAATGATGTTTTGAGTTAAGAGGGGATTTTGGAGACTAGATGGAAATCATATAAACTACTAGTCAACTTTTTCTAGATTAGTCTTTTAGACATTCAAGTAAACTAATCTTTATATCAGGTCATACTCTGAGCACATAGAAACAGCCTTGACTATTTTTTTGTTCTGTAGAACATTTGTTGAACCCGTAACAAATGTGGACCTCGATGATAACTAGTAGTGCTTGTTCTTACTTCAAACTGTGGTAACTGACAGCAGCGGACTGGGACACAGCTGACTGTCGCTCTCTACCCGAGTCCCGTGTGTCAATAGCTCCTCTACCGTGGTCCAATCATCCAGCAGCTTGCTGTTCCTCAGCCGGTTCTGCTTCAGGTGGCTCAGCTCTAGCACCATCTGAGATGACGCCGCCCCCTGGCACCCACCCAAATGCTCCTCCGCTCCACCTCTCCTCTCTCTGTGTTGCCGTGACAGCGCCATGTGACGTCTTCTTTCTGTTCGACTCCAGTATCTCCCTGCCCACCGACCATCCTCCCATTCATCCTCACCTCCTTTCAGACCGTCTCCTCGCATCTCTTCATCTGTTGTGACCTCACTGCGCTCCCTGGCCAATCGGTAAGCACGAGCTCGGAGCAGCTGGTTCCTTACTGACTTCTGATTGGATAGCCTGGAGCGGGGAGATGTTGGAGATCGAGGACTACGTTGTGGAGCTCCCAGTGTGCTGTAAAAAGGGCCACAGGAACTTTTGGGTTTTTCCACGTAACTGCCGAGTGTCTGAAAGCCCCGCCAGTCCGAGACCCCACTGGAGGCAGATCCAGGGCTTTTGGAGAGGGAGTCCTCCTCTCTGCTTCGGTTTGAACTTGGATGATTGATCAGGCTGACTCTGTCTAGGCCGACATGACCGGTGGGATGACAGTGACTGGGATAACTGGCCCTGCTCCTCGGCCCCATCATGTTCCTGCTTGGACTTTGATGGCTGCTCTGGTGAGTGTTTCTTAGAACGTTTGGGTCCGTCATGTTGGGATGACTTGCCCTGCGGCGCTGCTGGCCTTCACTCAGATCTGTTATTGTCCGACTCCTCACTGGGACCTCAATCCTTCCACCTCGACCCTGCTGTTGCTGCTCCAACCACAACGCTCTCCGCTGGCAGGGCTCAGTGCGGCTACCTGTACACAATCAACAAACAGGACTCTATCATTTAGCGCTGTTGTGTGATTGGTTCTAGTTAGTCACCGTTTAGCTAAAGTGGAATAGAGATGTTTTCTAAAACGTTTAGCTCAGAGGTTGGAGTTCTGGTTCCTAAGAGCTGCTTTACTGCATGTATAATGATTCAGATTTTTGTTATCAGGCTCCATAAGAGCTTGATCAGTTAAATATTGAACTTTATTGATTTCACATTGGAGAAATTCCCTCTCTGCATTAAACCTATCCCATTGGGGAGCAGTGGGCTGCCATTGTGCGGCGCAAGAAGGGGTAAGAAGTGTGGGGTTACGGGTCTTGCTCAGGAATGCAGAGTGGCAGTCTTTTGGAGTGGGGCTTGAACTCAGAACCTCAGGATTCCAAGATCTATGCCCTAACCATCCCCCGCCAGTTAAATAAACACATCAGGATGAAAGCTGTCACTCCTGGTTATAGACCAGTTTGCATTCTAGCAATCAATACTTACCCATGGAGGGTGATGGGGGTGAATGGTGACGCGGTAAAGTGGGGCTTCTCTCAGCTCTGTGAAAGTGAACCATTGTAGTAGTGCTGTTTCCCACAGAGCACCGGGACGCCTGTGGTGGTCCAGAGTGGGTCACTGGCGTCGTCTCAGGGATGGACTCCAAATCCCAACGTGCCCTCTGCTCTCGAGGGGAGTGGCCTGATCGGAGGTGCGGAGTTGGTCGGTGAGTGTGGGTGCTGGGAAGCTTGTGCAGCCGTCTGTGCTCCCCGGTGCTGACGCTGTGGAAGCCGGAGTCGCTGGGTTCAGACGAGATCAGGGACTCCGAGGAGGAGGAGGAACCTTGGGAGGAAGGGGTGTGACCCGGAAGTGATGACATGGCATCCGTCTCAGCTTCAGAGAGTGCCACCCTGTGGTGCGGACTGTCTGGCCCGCACCCTAAGCCGCTGTCCAGCTCACTGAGGGGGAGGTAACTGAGTGGACGGTCAGGCCTCCAGGTAGGATGATAGTCTGACTGAAAACACAATTCAAGTGAATTTGAGTAGGGATAAAGATAAGCAACATTAGTTTTGCGTTGTCAATGCTTTCTCCAAAAGAAAATCTCCTATGATGTATATGTTTTAAAGATTTGACTGTTCTCAAACTGGTAGATTTCCATTATCTGATGGCGCAGCGATCCCATAAACCAGAATAACAAACAGACTTTGGCCCAGTTCAATGACTACATGTCTCCAACAGGAAAACAATGCTTACAAAACTCCGAACATGCGTCTCATGTACCTGTCTGGGGAAACTCGTCCCTTCTTCTGAGCTGTAGCAGCCAATCAGACAGCTTTCTGAGCTGGGCTGGTGAGGCAACATCTCTGGACCCTGGAGCAGAAGCCAGAGATGAGAATGACAGCCTGAAAAATCAAACAAGGTTTCATCTGACAGCAAAAATCCTAAAACTACCTGGTAGTCCAGTCTGTCCAGATGGTCCAAGCTGTAGGAGACGCTAGGCAGGTAGTTGTTACCTGGATGCTGATCATTTGATGCTGTGGGGAGGTAATTGGTTGGATAGACATCAGATGACAACATCATGTGGCTGTTGGCAGGGTATGGCTCAGGGGACACAGTCATGTGTCCATAGTAGCTCCTGTACAAGAGAAAAGGACAGTTTCTTCAAGCCTAGTCAGGCAGGCAGCAGGACCACGAGGGCTGGAAACCCATTATGTTCAGAGCCTCAATGAACTGACCGCTACCTAACCAGGTCCAACATCAGCTCATTGATATTCATGACAGGACAGAACAACAAGGAGCACAAACCTTTGTAAGTCTGACTTCACTCCCTAAAATAACATGTACTGCCAGAAAGGAATTGTTATGGAGTCCTTAGTCCTGGTCCAGTCTTACTACCAGGTTTCTCACCTTGGTAGAACTTGTGGAACCAAAACCTTGTTTTTCTACAGTTGGGACATCCTACTATGAATTCAAGTTAAGAACAGTTTTGCACCAGCTACATTTATCTCCTAAATTTGCTTTTTCTTTACCTCATTTAGAAGGAGGCAACCTGCTGGCCTCCTTTTCTAAATTCTTTAACTGCTCTGTTTTCATGTTTGATGCTTTAACTCCTTGTCCATCAGGATCAGAGCGGATCTTTCCAGCAGGAAGTCAGTTATTCAAAAGCAAAGTGGATGTGTTGGATCTAACTTGTATGTTAGATCCAGTTCCAACCAGGTTATTTAAGGAGGTATTCCCTCTGATCTCCTCCTCCATTTGAGATTAGATTAA